TGTGATGCAGTGAGCCTACTTCTACGTCGGCGTAAGCCTGTTCATCGGCCTCCCCTTCGTTGCACTTTGTTATGGAATCTATGAATAGCTCCGCTTCATCGCTTGGAGTGTCAGGGTTAATAGAGTACACTGGGTTGGGTTGGTGTGGTGCTTGTGAACGGCATGCTTTGGCAAAGTGGTTCATTTTATTGCACTTTTTGCACCTCTTCCCTTTTGCAGGACACTCCTCCTTCTGGCTGTGTGCTCGTGCACATCTTCCACACACTTTTCCCATCTTATTATAATGAGGTGCCCTCCTATCTTTTTGCTGCGTACTCTGGCGCTTAGCGGATACTGCATGCGCGGGCGCTGCTCCCTGCAGGCTCGTGTGTGGGTCAACCATGGCTTTCAATTGCTCTCGTGCGATCTCATAGGAGCGTGCAATGTCTATGGCTTTTTCTAGAGTCAAATCTGACCCTTGGCTCAGCAGCTTTTCTCTGACTTGTGGTAAACTGGTTGCAAAGACAATCCTGTCTCGGACCATTTCATCACTGTTAACGTAGCCACACTGCTTGACGAGTAACTTTAACTCGGTCACAAAGTGTTCAAATGACTCCCCTTCACCTTGGAGTCTTTCATTAAACTTGTATCTGGCGAAAATGGTGTTCGTTTTCGGCATGAGGTACTGTTCAAACCTGTCGAGATATGTGGTCAGCTTTTTAGCTTCTTCATCAGACAGCTGCCATGTGTTATAAATGTCCCTGCCTCTTTCTCCTACCCACAGAAGAAGATAGCTGCACTGGGTCTCCTCGGGCTTGCCGCTTAGCGGGCCGCTAAACATTAGCTTCACATGTTGTACGAACCTCCGCCAGGCATCGGGAAGATTGGCTGAATCCCAGTCCATCGGTGGTGCAGGAACTCCCGACGAATCCATTTCGCTCTGTCAGTGGGCGTTTAGTTCGATTTACTCTGACACCATGTAATATTCTGTCTCAAACTTATGAATAACGTGTTCATAATCTGCTTCGTGAGCCACCATTATCTTTATTGCCGCTCGTCCATTTCAACATAAAACACACCCACTTTGGTGAAAACAACCACTCCCCGTTGCCACTACGGTGGACCACAAGGGACAGTAAGCACGGAGTGCAAACATTATCAGCAATACAACAACTGTCAAATAAAAAGATGAGACCAAGACATACCTGTGCTCCTCCTTTAGTGTTTTCTGCTGACCCCTAAAAGCTAGTTGAAGTTTGACACAAGGAAAAAACCCCTAAATTTGTCATTTCTGCCTGCATTCCAGTCTGCTCTGGAACACAACTGAGAAAAAGAGCAGGTTTATATTTTTCTGTGATCTCCTGCCCAGAACTCAGGGGGAGGATCGTGGGTTTCTCTTCCTGCCCACCACTGAAGAAACCCTTTCCATGCTCTCTAACACCTCATCTTCCACATAATCGCCCAGCTACTCTAGACACAAGCCATTGCTCAGCTCACAGTGCTGTTCCCCAGAGAGAGCCCCAGCAGGGCGAGCTAGCTTAACTAGCACAAAGCACTGGCTAGCTGGAGTCATAACTTATTCTGTCTGCTAAGTGGAAAAAGTCAGGTGGGATTTAGTTGCCCTTGCTTTGGGAAATCCGAAGATTAAATGGTCCTGCAGATGCCAGGTGTGGACCAGTGGAAACTATTCACTCCCTCTGCTCTAGTTTGAAAAAATGTTAATCTCTGACCCATGGGACTCAGACACAAGCTGGAATTATTCACTCTTTAGTACAGGAGTCAGTGTACAGACCGGGAAACTCCATCTTCCTTTAACCTTTTAAGAACATAGCAGTCCCGTCAGAGTGTTGTAGAGCCGAGATCCCTTTTCTCTGTGGGAATCTCTCTGGATTATACTCTACCATTCATTTAAAAAAAAAAAAAACAGACTGTGCAGCTGCTGAAAAATACTCTCACTATGGTTTTATGCAGGCACAAGAGTGACACGGTGTCTTACATACAGTGACATATGTGGGTGTGGCAACCCCATGACAGCTGCTGATGCAGGCATTCTTGCATGCATGCCTCTCCCTGTTAGTGGAACATATTCAAGGTCAGCTCAGTTTCTGAGCATGTATTCTGTTTGTGAACAGGGGGGCTTTCAGAGTTAGGTTAGCAAATGCTAAATCACAGCAGCACATGGACCGCCTGCTATAAATTTTGCGTTCAGATCCGAGTCAGGTAATCTTGAGAACCCCTCTGCTATTGTACGCTTGCTTGCACTCTGGTGGCAACAGTCAATATTTTGAGGCTTCCAGCAGTTACTCGCCAAGACTTCCTGTTTGTTGTTATTGTTCACAGTACAGCTAGAATACAGATCCATTTAAGATAAAATGAAAAAGAAAATACAAAGCAAAATCATGGACGGACAATAGAAATTGGTGCTTAAATGGCTGTTTGGCTCAATGGCTTCCTGTTTTGCACCGTACATGGGCTGTTTTCCTGTATTCTGCCAAAGTCCACACAAGCTTAATTAGCCTAGCGAGCAAGGACTACAAACAGAATCCAGAAAACTTCTTCTATGACTACACACATTCTCATGTAGAGTCTTTATAGAGAAAATTGTATGTAATAAGAGTCCCTGCAACTCATTTGCTACATATGTACGTACAGACGGAGGATTTTACAGGCCTCTTAATGTCCTGCAATCCTGTATGTATACTGCCTAGCTGTCACAGGGCACAAGAGGCAGGGTACACCTTGGATACAGTCATGGAGACAGACAACCATTCACTCAAACTGTTTTAAAAATGTCTAATTCAGCCGATAATTTATTTAATAATGCGTTCTATCTAACACTTACACTCTGATTAATGCATTGGGAGCAACTCGGGATTCACTATCTTGGCTAGCAGCATTTGACTGGAGGAGCCAAGGATTGAACCACCAACATTCCAACTGCACTGTAAAATGTAATATTGTGTTTAATTAAAAATATTAAATAGGCTGAACTCAGTTTTTATCAATTTGTTATTAGAGCTCGATTTAAATACTTTTTATGCAAAAAACTCTGATAAACTCAATTTATTTGAGTTGTCTTAACTAAGTAAGATGGAAGTTTTGCTTCTCAGTGCGGAAGGATGAAAGATGTGTTTTGAAAATGCCCCGTCACTACCGTCCTCCTCCCTCTCGGATCAGTCCGCATGTTCATGGTGCCAGCATTTGTTGAGCAAACCTGGAAAAGCGTCAGCTCAAGATATTATTGTTGTCATTGCTGTGAATCTTTACCTGATTCACTGACTTGGTTGAGTAAATGTTTGCCTCACAGGCATTCACACTATTGAGATCCTGTTTCTCTTTATTCTTTATCCTTTATTATTCTAGTTGCTCCGTTTCTTTGCCGCTTAACTACTCCCTCGGTTTTCACCGTTCGAACTTTAAACTGTTCTGCTATTTCTGCTTTCGACTGCTATATCTTTTGGTGATAATAACTTTTATACTTTTTGAGATATTCAGCTTTTTATGCCATTTTTTTGGCCCATTTTACTGTCAGAGACCACATTATCAGTGTGATCACCAGTTTTGCTTGCTGGGCTGAGCCATGTTTTAGCTCAGTGAGATGAGCAGCCGTTCTCAGACCAGGAGGGCAGGGTTCGAATCCCGCTTATGGCAACATTTTCTTCAGAATCAGAATCGTGTGTATTGACCAAGTATATGTGCAGACACATACAAGGAATTTGGTTCCGGTAGATGGTGGCTCTCAAGCACAGCAATGTAAATCACACACACACACACACACACACACACACACACACACACACACACACACACACACGCGTGTCTATATATACATTACACATGCATACACATACATACACAAAGCTGTGTAAACCAACTATAAATAACTAATCTAAACTTATATACATAAAATACAGAAATGAAATGAGGTGGAATGAATACTACAGAAAGTTAACACTTCAACTGTTTAAACTCCTTTCCACACAAATTTCAGCTTTTTCACCTCTTTTTAGCAAAATTTTCAGTTTTTCACTACTTTTCAGCACAAATTCCAGCTTCTTAAGCTTTTTTTCATCATATCTTTGTTTTGAGGCCAGAACTGGTTAGGCGCAGTGGGCAGCACAGCTGCCGTGAGTTCTGGTGGCAAGGGTTCGAGTACTACATGTGACAGATGCTGCACATCTTCCCTGCTTGCATGTAATCTCCTTTCTTGACACTCTTCAGTGTAGTCTTTCAAAAAAAACAATACGCCAGGAGTTAGCTGTGCTCGCGGACTCTTATCAAGCCTTGGCCTCCCGGTCAGCTATTCCGCTGGTGGATAACAGAGCTCTCCGAAAACGTGGAAGCACTTTTGCAAATATGTGATATTTTGATAAATTAAGTAGATATTTGAGCATTACACAGCTACATTCTCGGCTGAAAATATCTTAAAAGGTTCGTCTATGCTCTCGTGTCAGGTGCTTCAGTAGGCTACTCATGCTATTAACAGCGGCCGATAGTTTTTACATATTACTGTAATGTTCTTGTCTGCTTGTTTCAGAAAAGTGAAGAGACGGGAATATGTCCATTTCATAAAACAGCCACTCGCTTCAGCCGAGTCCGACATCTTCCGCTTTAGAATACGACTACGCAGCAAACTGGCGCAAGATGACGCGCAGCTGCACTACAGCGATGTTAAAGCGGCAGAATTTACTTTTACCTTTAGAAGATAAATTATTGAAATTAAATAATGATATTCAGCGAGTTTAATTATTTTACAATGTATCGCAAGTACATTGTAAGTAACTGTAATTAAAATACCTAAAAATGAACAGTAATCAGTTACTCTACTTTTTCAGTGGAAAAGTAATTTAATTACAGTAACGCGTTACACCCAACACTGCTCATAGGGGATACTGTACTTGCACATAGGATTACATCATTATCTGAAATGTTTATTACAGGAAGTAGAATCATCCAATATAACCTTAAAGTAGAAATCTGTCAAAGTCAGCTTAACCTTATTTTGCATGTCTATGTTCCAGGGCCTGGTGGTCACATGTCCAGGTACAGTCTCAGTTGGCTTGCTGAGAACAGCTTTGAGAGAAAGTACCAGAGTACAGAACAACCGCGCATCCTTTGGAATTCAGACATCTATAAAAATGCAAACATAACCTCATCCAAATGGGACACGTTCATGAGCTGTGATGACGAGCTAAAGAAATTTCTTCAAAATTATCTTCTGTACGGGATCGCGTTTATAGACGATGTCCCAACCACAGTGGAAGCCACAGAGGCAGTAACCCAGAGGGTCAGTCTAATCAGGTATGCTTCTGTTGGCCTACAGATCACATTCTCATCTTTACGTTAACACTTCGTATCCAGTGGCGTCGTTCAACCAGCTGTCTGTTGATTATCCTCAATTTCATCTGTTTCTCACAAAGGGAGACTACCTATGGCAGAATGTGGTGCTTCACTTCAGATTTTTCCAGGGGAGATACTGCCTACAGCCAGTTGGCCCTGGACCGTCACACTGACACCTCCTACTTTCAGGAACCGTGTGGGTAGGTGCAGCAGAGATGGGGTTGTTGGTGTAACGTTGACTTCTCATGATTATGTTTGGATATTTGATGCTTCTGTTCGTTATGGCAGAATCCAGGTTTTCCACTGTCTCAAGCATGAGGGAACCGGGGGAAGGACGCTGCTTGTTGATGGGTTCTACGCTGCAGAAAAATTACGTCAGAGCTCACCTGAAAGCTTTGAGCTGCTTGCTCAGGTGCCCGTCAAGCACGATTACATCGAAAATACCGACAGGCACCAAAACCACATCACAGGCATCGGCCCCCTGCTCAACGTGTATCCTTGGAACAATGAAATGTATCTTATACGGTATGTTGATGCTGAAATTTAGTGTAGTTTTTATTTTTCTGATGTTGTGTTCACTTGTTTAGTGGTTGTCCATTTAATTAGCGCAACTGATGTATTTACGTATTGACAGATACAACAACTACGATCGATCTGTGCTAAACACAATCCCCCATGATGTGGTTCAGCGCTGGTACGCAGCACATCGAGAGCTGACCACAGAGCTGAGGAGGCCAGAGAACGAGCTATGGGTGAAGCTAACTCCGGGAAAAGTAAGATATGTGCAGGCCACAAAGTCAAAACATAAATGCTTCTCCGAGTTCCAACTAAAATGAATTCGTAGTCAAGTCACAGGACAACTTAAATGTCAGTGTTGCTTTATAATCTGAGTGTTTTGCCCTGTCTTTTCCCCGTAAGGTTGTTTTCATAGACAACTGGCGAGTCTTACACGGGAGGGAGTCTTTCACTGGCTCGAGGCAACTCTGTGGATGCTATCTGACCAGAGATGACGTCCTCAGTGCTGCCCGCTGCTTCGGGCTCCAGGCCTGAACGTGAAGTTTTCTTCACTTGACTGCCTTATCGCTCTGCCCACAATACAGGTTTAATTAACACTGCACCGATACTGCTGGAGCATGTTTTATTTTGCTCTTCTGTATTTTTTAATTAACATTAGATTTTTTTTTAAGCAGTTTATGTGAAGTTAGAGTGTGAATGTGTCCCGAATTTGACTTGAAACAATGAAATGTCTTAATCCTCAAATGGCTTCCAGTTATTAAACTGTGTCGTGATGTGTTGTGCGTTCAGTGTTACTTCTACTTCCATGTGCTGATCCTGTTTTTATCACACAGCATATCCTCGACACTCTCACAATACTCAGTAAACACAGCCTCTGACACTCATGTGACAAATCTTGAGGCACTCTGGTGATTCAGAAATGTTTTATTTAATCATGATCTGTGAAGTTTGCATGTGATACAAAACAAATTGATGGTGTAACTTTTTTACATTTATTACTTCTGTTACTACTGAAAAAAAAAGGTTATTTAAAAAACATTTAAAACACAGGTTATGATAAAAATCAGAAAAAAAGACAAAACAAAATTACAGACTGAGCTGGTTGTGCACATTAAAGTGGTGCGACCTCAGTGTTAGGAACTTAGCATATTGATCATTCATAGTGTTACGAGTTCAAATATTGAGGGTGAGCACAAAAACAACAATTGGTCCAGGAGAGTCGGTCAAACAATGATTTTAATGAACACACGCGTGGGGAGATGAACACTGCACGCAGACAGCATCGATCTCCGCCCAATAATACACAAGCAGTTGTTTTATAACATCAGGGTATTATTTATGACGCCCCCTCATGCGTCAAAGCAGATACAATACATGCATAAGTTTCAAAACCACAAATGTTCTGTGGACGACTTTTGACACATTTAAAAGGACATCTTCTCCGTCTCGAGGCCAGGTGCTTCCTATTAATCTTCTAGCTCTCGCTTATCTCCTGGAACAAACTGTCCCGTAGGCAAACACAATTTTGCAGTCACAAGCTTTTGCAAACTATTATTCGAACTCTTACCTAAACACGAGTCTAACTACTGTTTGTGTGTGTGTGTATGTCTCGACCTCCAACGCAATCAGCCTCACCCCGCCCGTTGGCGCTTCTAACCTTTTACCAGACAGAAGCTCTCTGTGGTAGGTGTAATAACCTTAACTAAGAACATGTGTAATCTATTGAATAAATGCTTTGATGAAATGATAATTAATGTAATGGTAATGATGATGCTTATGAATAGTAGCAGTAAAATATTTCCCTGATCTCCACAATAGGATTCGAGTGCAATCAAACAATACTGAATTATTCACAAAGCCTATGGAATACAGTACATTCAAAACTGGGCTCTGATTTAATGTCCCTTGGTATAGGCATGACATCATCAATGTGATTTATTTGATTTTCTTTTATGTAAAAAATCTTTTAGAATCATGTTCATACAGTTTATTTTTTTCACACAATGTAAGAAAAAAGATTGAAATTTAAAACATTCATTACTTAACTGAAATTGGAAAAAAAAAAAGCTGTAAAACTGACAGAATTTGAGTAAGCACAGAAAATGCAAATTCAAACACGAAGATTAGCTCCATTGTTCTCATTACATCTGAATTCTCTCCATATCAAAGACTGGTATACATAATAGTGATGCTAATGCAATGCTGTAGCTGTTTAAAGTGGCATTTAGGCTTGAGGGCCTTCTTCCTCATCCTGAACGTTGTCAGCCGTGTTTGCATTGGGAATGCTCTCATAGGGCTCCTGGGCTGGAGGAGAGCTCCCCCTAGTGGACAAACAAACAGTAGCCGTTACACCCTTGAACTCTAAATGACCAAATCGATGGAAGAAGTGTATCAAAAATCTGTAATCTCACTTCATCTCGTTGGCCTCTGCCATTTTAACAGCGTTGTATTTGTGTTTCTTGACTGTGTGAGCGATGAACCACGCAACCAGGCCGATCAGCACGCACCCGAGCAGCGCTCCGATAACCGCGCCTGCGATAACCCCATCTGCCACTTCTATACAAACACAAACATTTTATACCTGTGAGGGGGGATTATTACACACACAAACACACACAAACACACATATTAAAGCTCCCCAAAAAATAAATGTGAGGACAAACCAGGACTCAGCTCAATGGTGCATGTTGCAAAGCCCACAACATTTGTAGCAATGCACTGGTACTCCCCAAACTCAAACTGGGAGATGTTTTTGATTTCCAGTATTCCAGTTGTGGTTGCTGAGAAAAAACAAAGTTCACTCAGATTCATGAGATGGTAAATGTGCTAATGCGCGCATATATATATGTATATGTATATATATATATATATATATATATATATATATATATATACACATACACGTGTGTGTATATAGATGCTGGACTCACTTCTTCCCAGCACAGGCCTCCTTGTCTTGGTCTGATCCAGTTTGGCCCAGTTGTAGGTCGGTGTTGGGTTTCCCTGCTCACTGTGGCAGGTCAGAGTGACCAGGTGACCCGATTCAACATTGCCATGGACGGCGCAGTAAGGAGCAGATGGTTTCTCTGGCGGACCACAGGGAAGTTAAGGCTTTATTGGCTACTTGACATTATTACAAAGCACACATTCAGCCTGGAGAAAACACTGACATTTTTCAAGCCATTTAAACAGCAGCTCCTGAATAAAGAGATCAGCTTCCCTTTGAGGCTTGGCAAGGAAATCCAGTCATCATCATAGCCTTGAAACCTTCCTTTTTGATAAAGCTTATAGTTAGGTCTTGATCAGGTGACCCCAAACCTTCCTTTAGTTGCAACACTGCTACTGGGGGCTTCCCATGATGCTTCTTCACTCCTCGTTTTCCCTCTCTATGTGTTTATAGACCACTCTGCATTTAATAATTAGTTAGTATTAACCTCTGACTCTCCTCTACAGCTTGTCTTTTGTCCTGTCTCCTTCCCCTCACCCCCACCCACAAACTGGTCAAAACAGCTTTTGCCAAGTGTTTGCTTATAGGGGTCATCTGATTGTTGGGGTTTTTTTCTGTATTACTGTAGGATTTTACCTTATAATATATGACACCTTGAGGCGACTGTTGTTATTATTTGATGAAATATGAATAATTTACTATTTTTTTCTTTTTCTTTCTCTTCTCTTTTTATTACTTTTGTATAGTTTTACCACCGCATGCTTTGATGTTATTTCAGTGAAACCACAGGGTAACTTTAGAGGGGAAATCACACTTGTGACAGCTTATGAGCATCTGATGGGACTGCAAGCAAAACACATTGAAAGTGCTGATTTTATTCTTTAACACCACATTGTTTTATAATCCTCTTAGACTGAGTTAGATACTGAGGACTGGAAACAACTAGTAGATATGTCAGATAAAAAAAATGTACTTTCTTTTCTGAAATTTGTTGCAGTATGAAGTGGGATAAAGCAGCAATGGTCAAGTGCCTCTAGATGCTCTTTCAGTCGCTGCTTTAGAACAGATGGTCTACACCGTATTGATTACCGCTATATTCCAGTCCGCAGCTCTGTGTGTGTTTATCAGTGTGTATTTTCTTCTTTCCTGTTTATGCTGGTTTCTCCCTGTAGGTGCCATCAATTATTGGCTTCCACTGCTGAGTGTCTCTCCAACACCTGATTGGCAGATTTTAATCTTGAGGGAATAAATCACCAGCCAGAGCAGATCGCAAGTATGAGGGTCCTCTCTCCTCTCTGCCCTATCTGTGTGAACTGTTGACACTGCACTGGCAATTTAGATGCATTTTGTAGACCATAGGAAGTAGATAATGGAAAATGAAGGGATGAAGGCAAATTCTGGTGCCCTTTTTATTTTCATTCATACACCAGCGTGTTTTTTAGTCTTTCCTTGGAGTTTTCAGGTGAAACAATTCATTGTGTATTGTAGATTGTTTATCAAAGATGGTTAACAGATTTGTTCGTTAAAATAGCAAATCCTTTTAATCAAACAAAACGTCACGTGGCTAGCCATTAGTCATCGTGATTCAGGATACGTTAGGAGTGGCCTCATCGTGAGCTCAGCAGCTACTGAAGAGGCAATCTGTGTTTCATTGCTGCCCGCTGATTATTAGATCGTTCAGTAAGACAGTTGGAAACAAACTGTACGCCAAAATCATGTTTGATACCACATGCGTTTTAACTTTCACAAAAAAGACATCAGGAAAACAAACAAAGTTTCTATACATATGTATTTGTAATTTACGGCAAAGCTGTCCAGTGTTAGTCGTTCTATGTGAAAATAAGTGATGCAAATCAGCCTTGAGCCCATGTTAATCAGCATGAGTGTGTTCATACATATTCATATTGTGCCTCACAGTCAGTATAAAGAAAGTGCCCCACTCCCCAGTCATTTTTTTCCATAAAGGCTGTACAGTATTTAGGTAGCACATGCATGCAGCAGACACTCATATATATTCTGTATGCAGTACGAGGATGCAGTCACAGTCCTTTTTCTAATTTCCAACACTGACAATGAGGAGACTGCTGAAGTAACCATGGAAACTACTGAGGCCTGCAAGGTTGTCCTGGTAACTCGGTGAATGAGGGGATTTGAGATGAATGTAATTCCCTATTTACACTGTTCAGGGCCACTACTTTAATAGGTTTGTTAATGTTACAACATTGATAATTGATACAGAAATCTCAGGTGAGGAAAGATAGCTGAAACATTCTTACTGAAATCACAGTTTCGATAAAAACACTGGCACTCCCTTTTCAGGGAGTCACACACGCTTACTTAGAGGAGGAGAATAATGGCTGAAGCAGCAGCATTCTAATGGGTGTAATCAGGTAGCATGAAATCTCCTACACACCCACTGTTTACCCTCGCAACCTTTCTGATTCCTGGACTGTGAGAATGTGTGTAGGTTCCTTTCCATGACTCATTCCTTTTGTTCACTTTTACCCGTGCTTTTGTGTGGCCTAAGTGTGTTAGGGTTCATGTTTTGTCTTTAAAAAATGATCAAATAGGATCAAACAGGGTTTGAAAATGTAATAACATAAAAACACAATAATATACCAAACACCAAAAATCTATTTCAAAAGTGGGCAAAACTCACCGAGGACATTCACGATGATATTTGCTTGAGACTGTCCATCAACGTCGGGCAAATTGTGAACTTCACACGTGTAGAGCCCAGAGTCCGATGGTTGCATGTTTCTTATAGTTATGGAGGCATTCATGGTGGCCCCTGGAGCAGCTGGAGTTTGAATCCTGCCTTCGTAAGACTTGGGAATAACAACCTTTCCTGATTGATAGTAAAAGATCTGAAAGCAAATGGCAAGAAGTCAGATCCGATCATCTGTTGGCTATCGCTGCACAAACTCACTGTCCTCGAGCTAGTTTGCATGAGTGATCCAAATAATTGGAGAGATGAAACCTTTAGTTCTCCAGTTAATATGATATTTACAGGACCGACGTTTTTTTTTTTTTTTTTCACATCAGCATGTAGTAGATGTCTTTAAAAGCACTTTTTGACATTGCATGAAGCAGCACATTTGTGAGTCTGTGGCTGTAGGTTAAATGAGCACTGCCTGAAAGATATTTGTCGATCTCAGTCACAGGCTTCGCGATCCAGACTGGGTGTGTCTGCTAGCTGGTAAGAAAACGTGGCACAGCAGGAAAAGGCGCAAACCTGTATGTGTAGCTGTGCGTAGACATATGTTTTTAAAATATTTAAAATACAGGAAAAAACTAAATGTTTGCTGCTCTGATGAGAATCAATTCCTTCGAAGCATTTTGAAGCATCTCGAAGATGATGCTATGTTCTGAGAAAGCGATTCTTATCTGCTCTGGAGAACTTGGAAGAAACACAAAATTACTCATGTCTTTCAGAAGTGATCACCGTGTGTAGTCGCATGAGTTTATTGGCCTGAACTTCAACTTGCACACCCTATTTTTAGCTACTAAATTGAAAGACATTTCATCATCCTGGTCCATAAAACTACAAATTAGTTGGCACATGGCTGTAATCCGAACAATAGACTGCATCTACCTGCTGTGCAGTCATGGCGGATTTTGAGAGAAACTCCCACTGGATTGTTAGGTCGGCAGTTGTCGCCACTGTAGTGGCAAACGTACAGTCGAGCAGGACACTACCACCAATTGTCACATTGACGTATTTCTGCGTGGTCGTCACTGTGATGAGTTCGACACATCCTGTAAAACAATATCAGAGCTCAAGTAGGTTTCCAATAAAATGTAAACTTGCTACAAAAAAACAAATGATAATGTAAGACAGAAATGTGCTTACCTGTAATGCTTAAAAGCACCAACAAGAGCTGCACAGAGCACATCTTTACAAAAGCTGTGGGGATTCTCACAGAATGTCCTAAGAACTGAACTTTATACTCGCCGTGCAAGCAGGTCTAGAAGAGGAAGGGGTAAATGCATTACAGTATCACAGGCAAGGTCGGGGAATTCATGGTAACAGAACTGCTGATAATGCGCATGTTTGCATTTCCATGTTTGCCAGACAAGGTGTGTACACTGGGTGTGTAGAGAACTGTTTTTCATAAATTATAGATTTGGGCATTCGGGCTCAAAAAGTTTAAATCAGGGTGGATTAAAATGAGAAATGATGGCAAAGAAAACCCCTAATCTGGTCATGCTTTGGGCAGATACAACGTGACCTTAAAGGAAACAAATGGACTGAGTGCAGTCTGCTCTGTGTGTGTGTGTGTTTTGAAATGTTGACTGTACATGGCAGGTGTTTTGACAATGATGGTTAATTCATTTTTCAGTACTTTGGCAGTAGTTTCACCACAGCTCATCCTCCTTGTCTTGTAAGTCATTCTGGGTCAGGGCTTCTGGCAAAGGAATTAATGTAATTTAATCTCCACCTGGCCTTTATCGCTTGCCTCGAGGAAGTGTAAGCCAAAGCGCTGCAACATGCCGCTTATCACTGGGGAGTCCACTCCCCGGTGCTGCTGCCTACTTAATAAAGGCAGTTTCACCTTTGTCGTTTTCGCTCACACAGCGTGCAGCACAATGCTGACAGGGAGAGACAGTGAATCATACATGATTAATTGTCTATAATTACCAGAAGCTGACATAAGTGATTAACAATGTGAAAAATGTTGATTAGGGGTGACTGGAGGGGTGAGGGAGGGAGGCAGCGGCATGATGTGGGAAGCGGAGGAAGGCGTGTAGAGCTCATTATCCAGAAGACGTTTATGTGATAGGCTGGCAAATGACACAATATCACTGTCTGTAGGCTTTGTCTGAAAATTTTAAAAAAGAAAAAGAAAGTGTTGGCAGCTGTGTGTTTGGGCAGAACTGCAGAGTGAAACAACAAGGGGCCAGTCTTTAAATAAATGCATCAGCATGACTCACGACCAGCTAATCAGAGTCTGAGAGCGTTCTGATTCCATGACAAGTCAAGTGGGAAAACCACTAATGAATGAGTAGAACCATTAATAATGTATTCAGTTAGTTACATTTGGGAAATGCTTATTCCCACATAAGTTGAGATCAGGATTATAGAAACACAATAAGCAGATCCCTTGTTATTTGAGGGCAGATTTTAGATCACATTTCTGGCAAATTCGGTCCTTCTCCAGCTCTCCACGCAGACTCTTTGACCTCCGTGCAACCAAAGCCCACTCAGGCTTGATTTAACAATAGCACTTGAATTACAGATGTAAATGAGAACACTTTGTGTACTAGAAAATCCACAGGTGTTACATATTCATGCGCAGAGATCTGTTTTTAGAGATTAGAGTGACAGAAGCTGACATTGTAATAGGACATCTGGCAGAACTTGATAAAACATTCAAATTTGTGCTTCCTGTTTTAGCTAAATTTTATCGAAGGTGACGGATCGTCCACGTTCAGCAAAACAATGGCCTGTTTCATTTATGGCTGGCTATGTTTATTTTGATTCAAAGAAGTCATTTTTTTACACTATTACTGCAAAAAATTATACAGTTTTACAGGGTCATGGGGAAAATAATATATTAAAATAAAATAAAATAAAAATAATACTACATTCACATGCACAGCCATTAGGGGCCAGTTACAGCCTCTTTGTTAGAGTAAGTCTAAGAGTTTACCCCATGATGCTATAAATGATCACGCTGCTGCTTTCAACTGAATGCTTAGCACTAATATTTTAGCATAAAGATTTGATTCATCACCTGATTCATCCACTTGACGCTTGAATACTTGTACTAAAAACAAAAAAACTAAAATTACCCATTAGCTATTGAAGCACTTCAGAAGAAATCCAAAAAAATCTACTGTTAAAATATGTTGGGAACCTGTTAAAGAATGCTTCACAAAATCCTGACCACTTGTTTTAGTGGTAGCCTTAGAGGAGAAAGGGATCATCAGAGTCATTGTCATAAATGCTCTGGGGAACATAAATGCTTGCACCTGTACCGAGCAAGCAAGACCGCAACTTAGCCATCATGGATAATAAAATGGGAAGATTAGATTGTTGCCATTTTCTGACTGTTTCACCCTTCAGCCACACTATACTGACTCTTCTTTCTATTCCAGTCACATTAATGGCTCTGCAGTTAGTTTGAATCCGAGGGGAGAGCTGATGATGCATGCACCCTGTAGCATCCACCAAGCCGCGAGCGTCATCTCACGAGGCTGCTTGGACCTGTAGCTGTGTCCTCCTCAAACCTCCGGCAGGTTTCTGTGTAATACCTCCACACAGACTTACTCATCCACCCACTGCAAACAGTGGTTCCCTGTCGGCAGACTGCGAGGGGGCGTAAAACTCCGAGCTCAGAAAGAGTGAGTACACATTGAGTGGTATTTTCTTCTGCTTTTTTTTGATGGACCTATCTGAACAATCCGACTGGTTGTTGTAGTAATGCACAGTGCTGGGGGAAGTATTTGAACCCCTCATGGTGGAAAAGTACCACAGCACTTTCAAACCATTGTAGTAAGTTATGACAAGTGCTGCTTAGAACACAAATCAATTAAAAGTATATGAGTGTAATTGTAAAGGTGCACCTCTGAAAATAAAAGTGTACCCAGTGCAGAAGAAGACATCTGTGAATGTTCTGCACTTAAATGTCTCTCAATCTTTCATGAAGATTTACAACTTTTCCCCCACAGTGTTTCATTCTGCTCCAAAGTAATGGATAAACAATTAGATGAAAGTTCCTGTTTTTTCACTATCAACATTTTTTGTGAGTTAACAAAAAACCTTCTGCTTAATAATTACTGGGCAATGAGCTACCAGAACTTTTTCTGTCATTTTACACATTTATTTCCTATCCTTAAAGCCCAGTGAGTCATGCTGACAGGTTTCTTTCATTAAATAAAGCATCATTTCTTTATGATGTAAATCTGAGACGTGCTGTTGAAACTGCACTTCTTTTTCTTATTTTGAGATATTTCAGTGATTAAATGTGCAGCTAAACTAATTTACACTGACAGAAATGTTTATTGGTATGGCCCACTTAAGGTCAAAATGCACTGTATGCCCCCAAGTCCCCCAATTTAAAGAGCTCAAAGCCATTTATAAACAAATATCATCTATTCTTTAATGTGTTTTCCTCCTGCGCTCTTGCTTTGTCTTGCAGATGAAGCGGTCAGATAAATGATGTCATGTAAAAGGTACTCGCATTAACACTGCTGCTATTGAGGAGAACAGGGGTGCAATTCAGTCATTGGACAATAGATGGCAGGCCAGCCTGTTAGATGTGTTGTGATGAGCATTTCTCTAAGTATGTGCATGTGGATGTACATGTACATGTTGGGTGGGGGAAGCTTGATGCAACGAAGCCAAGAATGCCACACTCCTCAACCTCAGCAGGCCTGGCTCTTCTTCACCCTCCTCTCCCACTTGGATAACAAAAATATATAGGCCAGGCATTTAGCGTGGCTTCGCTTAATGTCCCCACAGCTACCAAGCAACCTTACCACTTCTAAAAACAGTGATGGTACAAAACCAAATCATATGCGAGAGTAAGAACTTTAAAAAAACAACAAAAAAAACAACAGTGTAGTGTGAAACATCATCTGACTAACACAGATGAAAAAGTCTCCTTTGCATTGCTTTTTTATTTTCCCCTTGCCTCTAAAAACCACACGCAGTGACACTGAACTATCATCTCACATTGCCATCAAATGCTAGCATGAGACGCCGCTTTCACAGAGATTGACACAATTGTGCAAACAAACCTAAAAGAAGTGGGATACAGTCAGTCAGACGCAACATCTCCTGATACTTTTGTCATCTCTGAAATTCAGAGTCTGTCACTGAAGAGGGCGACCTGTGACGAATTGTCTCAGGAAGAGAAACAAGGGGCGCAGAAGGGGAGTACATTTACATCAGCAAACAGTCTAATCGACAAGCTGTCAGTGCTGCATTTGGACTATAACTTTTGTAAAATGCCAGAAGTAAAAAAAGAAAAAGAAAAGGAGCAATCGCACAGATGACCCTTTCTGGCACAGAGAAACGTTACGCTTTCAGAAGATGCATAACGTCCCCACATCCATTTTGTCTAATGATATTTTTGATCGTCTAAAATCTGTCCTTTAGCAACAAGGGAAATGCCAAAATAAATTGAGAGGCAAGCTGTTAGATTTGCCAGCAAAAGTATAATTTTATGCGTTAGAGCCGTGATCTTCTCAACACTTAACTGAAAGATGGTTCTTGCCAAGTGGAAATGTGTGTTTTCCACAAAGTACACTAATGTTTTAAAGAGATATTCACAGTTTTTTATGTCCAGCTTAGAATACTGAGACCTTGGAGTGGTTGGAGTGGTCGTTATTGAGGGGATGAAGCAAATTTTAGAGATAAAAATCAGCTGTTGTTAACCACACTTTATAGGTTAGTTTTTAAAAATGACTTTGGCATATTCTTCCTTGGGTATATTAAACACAAAAATATGCAGTGCTGGGATATGTAGTCTTGACCTAACCCTTTTGTGTGTTTTCCTAGACATAGGGTTTTCTACATAGTGGTCTTAGTAGTTCAGTCATGGTCACAGTAATATTAATATTAATATTTTAATATTACACGCATTATGTTTCCACTCCTTCTCAGCTCCTCACTCTCTTTTCACGTCACAAACAAAAACTCCATGGTAACACCGATGAACATGCTGTAAAATTAAAACACCTGCTCACCAAGTATTATAGCAGCGATCGTGTCAGACTAGATGCTTAAAGAATGAACATGATGCGTAAAGTAACAGATGTAAGTGTTTATTAGCTGAATAGTTGATCATTATCCATTCAACCAATCCAAGCTGATGCTCGGTCACATGACCTTTTCTTGGAATAGTGGACTGATCTGGTGAGGCTGACTAGGTCAAGCATAAATGCAATAATTACAACTAGTAAAGATGATTTATTAAAAACATTTGAAACAAACTTGGTGGTTTGAACCACAAACCA